GTTGATGTGCATTTCCCAAAGGCTCGATAGGATGCATGTTCGTAGACTATTCTAGTTCACGAGACATATTATGGAAATCCAAAAGAAGCTATAATGGGACATGTCTAAAGATAAAAAAGATTTTTAGACTAATCATGACAAGGTTTTTATGACATGAAAAAAGATTTATAATGAGTATTCAAATGATTTTCACATACATTTGATTTACATGTATAGCATGCATAGATTAACCTATTAAGTCGTAGCTCACCCATTTTCTTATGTTGTAGATAATACAAGTAAAGATAGTGATGTTTACATTTAAGTCGACTATTGAGGGGACCATGCGCCACGTGTATGTTGGATGTAGCCGAAAGATGGACCTCCTTCACATTATAGTTGTTTTAGTACTTGGTATTTTAGTTTATTTGCTTGGTATGACATCTTTTTTTTTCTTTTTTTACATGATAGTCAAAACTATGAAAAAAGAATACCTAGTTGAAAAGAAAAAAGATTTTTTAAATAAGTTATTTTTGTAGTATATGACGTAGAACTCGGGTTAGTAAAATTAAGGATAGTCCCTATATAAATCGAAGTATCGATAGTAAAATAGTAGTATAACTATAGTTGGTGTAGTTTTCTTTAAATTATTTTCTTGCATTTTAGCATCAATAGTAAAATAAGAAGAATGAAATTAATGAGACAATAATCATAATAAATGATAATTAATGAAGATAAAAGAAATTAATCACCGAGTAATAGGTAATAACTAAAAAATTTATATAGAATAATAGAAAAAGAATTTGAAAAAACCAAGTACTATAGATCAAGTCCGTTCGATCCAAGTAATTTAAATAAAACAATAAAACACCAAAATTTATAGTGTGTTTTGGACAAAAATTTAGGACTTTTTTGTCATTATTAGGCTTTCGTAGCTAATTCTATACATAAAATATCATAGAAAAGACACGAGTGCCTTATTGGTCCAAATTCATTGCATTTCGAATATAGGTCAACGACGATAATATTCCGAACTTATAAGGTCCTAGGTTTGGGATTGTTACATGTTAACTCTCGAGCTAACTAATGAAGGATCTCTCTCGCAAGTGTATCTTACTTGTTGCACAAAACTAGACCTTCCCCATATTATTGGTCCGTGGTATTCTAGTATATATATTGGGCATTGTGTCCCTACTCTATATAATAGTTAAAGTAATGAATAGGTAGATAGTAAGTCAATAATGGAAAGATAATTGTGAATAAATAAGCCATTTTTTTTTAATATTGTGGGACTGAACTGGTTTGTGTAAAATAAGGATAGCTTGTAAGTTAATTAAATTTTGGACGTATCGGTAGTAAGGTAATAGCGTGGTGGTAAGTAGCATAGTTTTCTTTTAATTAATGACTCGCATGTATCATAAATAATTAAATTTGGTCATGAAATTGAAAAGGAAATAACCATAATAAGTAGCAATTCATGAAACTAAAAGGGATTAATTACCGAATAATAGGTAATAAATAAATTACCATAGGCTTATAGAAAAGGAATTTGACAAAATTAAGCATCGCGAGTTCAATTGATTCAATCCAAACTATTAAAATAAAATATTGAAACAAAAAAATTTAGTAGTGCATTTTAGACTAAAATCTAGGACTTATCCATAATTTATAGGCTTCCATATCGTAACCCATACCTAGTAACATCATTGGAAGGACATGATGCCTTATTGGTTTGGATTCATTACACTTTAAATGTAAGCCAACGACCACAATATTCTCAAACAATTTAGGTCTTAGATTAAGAGTGTTATATTAAGTGCCTTGGACTATGTTGGATCACTTGTTTGTTAGTTAGACCTTGCATCATCAAATAAAAGCTAGTTTATGCTTGATTTAAGATTTGGAAGGATTCATCCTAATGATGTTTATTTACTTATTAGTTTTTTTTTTATTTTTCCTATTATATTTAGGTTATGTTTCCCAATTTTACAAAACATAGATAATTATTTCTAATTAGTTGTTGATTTTGATTGTTTTTTTTTTAAAGAGTTAGATTCCGAACAGGTATAGTTTGAAATTTTTTTAAAAAATATTGGTTTAGGATTCTCCAAACAACCTTATCCCTAGCTACACTTTAGGAGTGTGTTTTAACGATATAAAGGAGGCTTGTTTCTTTATTTTGAGAGGTGATTATTAATATGATTTTTGAGAGATTATTGTTCAACTACACAAGATTTTATCTACCAATGCTAGTGTTGAACAAACTTAAATCTTATCATTCATAATTCCCGAGTGTGGTGATTTGCCCTCTTCTTATTCATTTACTTATTCTATCAACTCAATTAGGAAAGCTTTTTTTTTTTCCTTATCTTATTTTTACTTTAAACCAAATAAAACCATATTTAGATTACCTAGCATATTCTGCAAGCAAACCAAATTGTGACTTAGGCATGCATATCATTATGTCAAAGTTTTCTAAACCTAAAAGTTTAAACTATTAAGTAAGACCTTAGGAGTCAAATGATCGTCCCAACCTAAAGTTTAAACTATTAGATGAGGCTTTAAGAATGGTTTTATGCTACCATCTCTAAATATTTACACCATATCTAGATAAAATGGTTAAAATAATCAAAACTAGATGGTACAATGGCTTAGGGTGATTTTAACCCCATTTATCGAGTAGCTCCAAACATTATAACTCATCACAAATTCGAGCGAGATAATATGAGTTCGGTGTTGTCTTTAATTTCCATGCTTAGTACATTTGTTGTTGAGCTTTCGCTCGAGATGCTAGATAGTTTACTTTGATTAGGGGTATACTGGGTGAAAGGTGAGGACATCTGCTTAATTAGGTTATAGGTCATTTGGCAATGATACATACAATCAAGACCATATGCACAAGGATGAAATGGAAGCTCAAATACAAACTCCTTTCCTTGATAATGATTACTAGTTAATTTTTTCTAGATTTCAATTGGCGGGAATTTAAAAGGGCATCTACTAAGCATTGCTAGGAAAGCCATATTACTTAGAGATACAAAACATTTAGTGCGAGTGCAAGCTGTTTTGATGGGGCGATGAGACTTCATTAATGCTAGGGGCGGACCTTAGTAGAATGCTACGGGAGCTCTAGCCCCCCCTCTAATTTTTTTTCATGGAACATCTCATGCCATACTCTTTTATCCTATTTTTTATTTTATTTTATCACAATTCTACTTTCAATATGACACCATCCAAATTCATGCTTTAATTGGTAGTTTTTTTTTTTCTCGAAAATGCTTCAATTTGAATTTTGATTAACCTATGGATAAATGAGTGCATTTTTACATAAAATAATTAATTTGAGGGCTTAAATAAATATAAAAACACACTTATTTCTCCATAAAATATTCCCTATGCATAAACAAATTCACCTAAGTTCATAGAATATTCATACACCTTATAAATGATTTTTTTATGCCCATTGTATAACTTTCAAGCACATTTAAAATGCTCAAAATAATTAATTTGCATGAAAAAGCACTATTCATGCATTGAACATTAGAAAATTCATCCAATGGCAAAGAATAATCTAGAACCCTTCTAACAAATATTCTATGCAAATAGAATATTTTTCATGCACATTTAAAATACTCAACAACATTTATTTTGCATAAAAAATTACTATTCATGCATCAAAAAACGAGATAAAATATTCATTTAGTACGGAAAAATTATCCTAAGAGCATCGAATATTCTAGCATCCTCATGGCAACTATCTTATGCTCATAGAATAGCTTTCATACATCCTTACTATGTTTTTAATTGATTTAATAATGGATTCGAGACATTATAAAAAGGTTGGGGATACTTGTTAGAGTTGTCATCTAAAATATGTTTTTGGTTTGATGTATATGTTCGAGTGCAATTTTAGTTGAGTATCATTACAAAGTTAACATATTAAATACGGTGATAGATTCTCAATTGTAAAAGCTGAATAATAGATTCAATAATCGCATGATATAACTACTCATTTTTAGTTTGGCTTTAAATCCTAAAGAGATACGCATATTATTTAGGATTGATGACGTTTGTAAATTGATGCAAAAATTTTATCCTCGGACTTTGCTAATCAAGAAGCTGTCGTAATTAAGGATGCAATTTGAGCATTTTGATTATATATGAAATCTTTTTAATTTTGAAATATTGTCAAATATATTTGATTTGCGTCAATGGGTTGATGAATACAAGAAAATTTAAAAGTTATCCACTTGTGTATAAAATGATAACGATTATTCTTACTCTTCTAGTTTCCACGGCTACCATGAGCGAGTCATTTTTAGCTACGAGTATAGTCAAAACTAAGCTTCGTAACAAGATTGAAGATGACTTTCTTTTCGATTGTTTGTTAGTATACATTGAAAAAAAAGTTGTGAAAAATTTTAATATAAATCGCTTATAGTTGATTTTCGTAATTTGAAAAAACGAATATATCTATTTTCAGTTATTGTATTTTAAGATTATTTTAAAATATATATTGCTATATTATTTATAATATATATAAATCTATATAAATCATAATAAATTTATAAATTTTTATTTTGACTCCATGTATATTTGATTCTGCGTCCCCCAATAGTTGATGCTAACTATATTTGAGATATTGCGGACCCAACTCAAATTAACAATCAGCTAGCTGGCTAATTAGATTGGATTCAAATCTATGTATTTGATTTTCTGTCCTATGAACAATCTGCACTATTATGTGATGAGACGTTCCAGAGAGGGGTAGTATTACTATATATTGATGTTACAATACACGATTTTTCATTTAATTTGAAGAACATCATTAAATGTCCGGCGGATGCAGTAACCTGTTTGCGATAATACAAGGTCCCTCCCATGAGTGATGAGACCCCAGCTATAACCTATATAGTCTCTTAATTATAAAAGATAGAGAGGGAGTAGGGACCAGTGTCAAACATTATTCTCGAAGTAGCATGTGAATTACAATGCCCATTTTTCCATGCTATCACCCCAAAATGACCATTTTCCACGGCAAAAACAAGATAAGCTTCCACACTCTGAAGTACTCACAAGCGCAAGATGTGCACATTCACAGTTTGGCTTTTTTTAGATCGAGTTACCTGGTGAAGCTTACTACGCAAAATCAATCATGACGGCAGCTTATTCGAACTTCGTTTCTGTTATTTAACCTTTCTACTTAATTTACTCATATCATAATCTCTCTCTCTCTCCCTCTCTCTCTATATATATATATATATATATGCATTGTAGTTCCAAACAGTTTTGGAGTACAAATTAATAGTAACTGAAAATGAAATTAAGATGGGTACTTTTGTGGATGGGAATCATTCCTACCTTTAAGTCTCCAATGAAGATGTAGCCATCTCATCCTTTCAACTGAAATCCTTAGCCCACACCACACCACACCACAAACTATAATCTACATGCTCTTTCTCTAATTGACCCTCCTTTTATCAGATAATACCCAAAATGCCATTCAGTTATCCCACTGCTGTACCATTTGTACCCCTTAAAAGAAGCCTCCCTCTTGTCAAACAATAAGCCTCATATGGGTAATTCATTTGAGAGCTTGAGCTTCAGGCCTCATTATTGCTTAATTCAGCTTCTTTTGGGTAGTTTGAAAAAAGGGTCATAAGGAAACAAAAAAGAACTGGAGAATGGAGATAAACATGCACAATATTGGGGTGGTCTTGCTTAACCACAGCCTTTGACGATTAACTGCGTGTAAGATTCTCTTTACTTTCACTGTCTGATGGAGGCATGATGATGATAATAATAATAAAGATCATTGTATCTCTGTCATCGTGGAACTTGATCAAGAAGAAACTGCACCCACTAGTACGTCTACTAACATGTCCTCTAAAAAGAAGGAGCTTCTGTCCACTGCCATGAAGAGAACCAGTGAATGGTTTGATTTTTTACTTTTTGTTCTATCTATATTTTCTTCTTCGCAGGTTTTGTTATATATATATATAAACAGTTTCAGCTTCTTGTTTCTTTTCTATAATTATATATGTACTAAACATGACATGACAGACCACTATGAACTTTACAGGATTTTTTCCCAGGAAATCCCCAGTGATGTCACAGTTCATGCTGGAAGAGCTTCCTTTTCATTGCATAAGGTAAGATTTAATCCAAAGCTCCTCTTTCTCATTTCAAACTATGTTCATTAGGATTTGAACAACCATTTATGGCTTTAGCATTTAATAATTCCAGTCTACCAAGTATGTATTATGTACCCAAGACTATGTTACAAAATATATAGCCTAGATTTGTTATTTGTATCCATAAACCAACATCAAGAAGTATTGAATGGCTAGTTATAATCCAGTATTCGATTGTGATCTTCATCTGTAGTTATTTAAATTCGGAATTTTGTTTTCATCTACTACTTTAATGGCAGTTTCCGTTAGTCTCGAAGTGCGGAACCATTAGGAAAATGGTGTCAGAATCTAGTGATGCTGATCTTTCTGAGATAAAAATCCCTGATGTCCCTGGCGGGGCAGAAGCATTTGAGCTAGCAGCAAAGTTCTGTTATGGAATTAATTTTGAAATTAGTACAGAAAACATTGCCATGCTTCGGTGTGTGGCAGAGTATCTAGAGATGAACGAGGACTATGCAGTCGGAAATTTGGTTTCAAGGACTGAAGCGTATTTGAATGAAGTGGCACTAAAGAGCCTAGCAGGGGCAGTTTCAGTTTTACACTTCTCAGAAAATCTCCTCCCGATGGCAGAGAAAGTGAAATTGGTAAGCCGGTGCATAGATGCAATAGCACTTACAGCCTGCAAAGAAAGCCAATTTTCTGTGTCTGGAAGGTCAGATAGTGGCAATGAAGTTGTGATTTGTTCCACTTTGTCTCAACCAAAGCCCATTGTTGATTGGTGGGCTGAAGATTTAACTGTTCTTAGAGTTGATATCTTCCAAAGGGTTTTGATTGCAATGATGGGAAGAGGGTTTAAACAGTATGCTCTTGGTCCTGTACTAATGCTATACGCACAGAAATCTCTGCGCAGTTTGGTGAGATCCCAACCTGAAAACAAAGTTGAATTTATTCAATTATGTGGTTTATGTGTTCACAATATCTGAATCTTCTTTTTGTGCAGGAAGCATTTGGGAAGGGAAGGAAAAGAGTAGAGCCACAACAAGAGCATGAGAATAGGGTTGTTTTAGAAACAATAGTGAGTCTTCTACCAAGGGAAAAAAATGTACTGTCAGTTAGTTTCCTCTCGATGTTGCTTCGTGCTGCAATTTATCTTCAGACAACAGTTGCTTGCCGGCTTGATTTGGAGAAGAGGATGGCCTTGCAATTAGGACAGGCTGCCTTGGATGATCTATTGATTCCTTCATATTCTTTTACAGGGGACACATTGTTTGATGTGGACACTGTTCAGCGGATCGTGATGAATTGCCTTGAGAATGAAGTTGAAGGAAACCGAATGGGTTACCATGCTGATGATGAATATGGTTCTCCTCTGCAAAGTGACATGGAACGAGTTGGGAAGCTGATGGAGAACTACCTATCTGAAATAGCATCCGACCGTAACTTATCAGTTTCAAAGTTTATTGGTCTTGCTGAAATTATTCCAGAGCAATCAAGGATAACAGAAGATGGGATGTATAGGGCCATAGATATATACCTCAAGGTGCATTACCTTATATGAAATTCTTTCTATCTACAGTGCCTAAAATATACTACTTAACTAAAAGTTCCAGATAGTATAGTTTGCATTGTGAGTTTTTTTTTCATAAGACAATTTGAATGACGGAGTTTCAATATTCGTGTCTGGCTGAGCCTTAGTATGCTTGTCGCTTGATTGATGTCTGGCTGATCCATTCTTATAGAATCAAAGCTAATATATCTCGCGGAAGCTTCACAGGCTTTTGAATAACTTTATTTTATGTCTGGCTAAGACTGGTATCCTTGTTGCTTTATTGAACGAGTGTTTGAATGTTTCACTACACTTTTTTATGGACATTAAGTCATCTTCAGATCTCAGCATATTGTAATAACATTAATGATTTTTACCTGTTCGTATACCAGTGTCTAATGTTTCAGTGTAATTGGAAACTTCAGATTTTCTTCTTAGATTTTACCGTGAAAATGAAATCTAACTAAAACCTGTGATTTTATCTCTTCGTACAATTAACTTTAACAGAAGTTTTCCTTTTGATTCCGTTCATTAGGCCCATCCTGCTTTAAGTGACATGGAGAAGAAGAAAGTCTGCAGTTTGATGGACTGTCAGAAACTATCTCGGGAGGCCTGCGCTCATGCTGCTCAGAATGATCGGCTTCCAGTTCAAACTGTGGTTCAAGTGCTTTACTATGAGCAACAACGCCTTCGGGACGTCATGAATGGCAATTTTATGGCTGGAGATTCCTCTGATCTTCCTCCCAAAGGAAATATATTCTCCACTGACATCCATCCTGTTTCTGATGAGCTCTCCAGCTTACGCAGAGAGAATGAAGATCTGAAAATAGAGCTAGTGAAAATGAAAATGAAAATGAAGGAAATTGAAAGAGCTACCGTTGTATCAGCCATAAACAGTCCATCTGCTGATAAACCTCCTCTGCCTCGAAAATCATTTATCAATTCAGTATCAAAAAAGCTTGGAAGGATTAATCCCTTTGTGCGTGCTGATGGATTACCACTCTCCAATACCAAAGCTCGGACAAAACCAAGCAAAGATCGACGGCATTCAATATCCTGAGTCTTGACACATGCGCTTATAGGACAATCAGTAGCTTGTGAAGAGTACTGTTTTTTTTTTTTTTTTGCTCTTTTTATAAGTCGGGAGTGAGAAGGTTGCTAGCTACTGTCTCTTTTGCTTCTGTTTGTATCGTTACATCTACTTATTTGGTTTGATATTTTTGTAAATAGTATTGTCATTGCGTTTTCAATAAAATATTGATCCAAATGAAAATCTGAGTTGCTGCTGTTGAGAGCATAATTTATTCTTCAACCAGAAGTAGATAGTGTAATCCGATTCCGGTTTTCTTAGCACACTATCCAGTCCAAGAACTTTTCATGCAAGCAAGAAATAAGCACATAAGCCCTGGTTAATAGTCGTATTATTATTCTAACAATATCAATGTTATGGCAACCATTTCTCGAGAAAATGTTTGAACACAATATATGCACAAAAAAAAAAAAAAATGTCAAATAGTGTTGAAAATTAGCAACGGAAGTTTATCTATGCTAAATACCTAACAAATAGCGATAGAATAGCATCTGTTGGAACAAGCGACCAAACAATGATGGAATTGCGATAGTTTAATAGTGACCGATACTAATCGAGGAGAAATAAGGTTGGCTTAATGCTTTGCATTGAAGTCTGGAAGGACGAGTTTGAGATTTAATTTCCATGTAGTATCGAAGATGATTATCGATTTCGGTGTGTGTAAATTGATTGTTGGTTTATTTAATTTGTTGTTTGTGTAAGCTGTTTGGAGTATCTCGTTAATTGGAAATAGTGTAATTTAGAAAAGAGACTTTGTCGACATTTTATTAGATGTTTAAGAAAATTATTAATTAAATAATTTTATGTTGCACTGGAAAATGCTAAAACAAAATAATTTATAATATATTTTTAGTTGAATTGTTAGTCATTGATTAAACAATTTTAGGTGTTGTTCTTGAGTTGTGCTTTTGGGATTTGGCGGATCTAATGGCGGTGTCGGTGCTTGATGGCCACGATGTTGACCGTGTGATCGATAATGACAATATACATAGGCATAATGCTACTAGTGCATTGTCCGAGGCCACATACTTGATAGTGGTGTTGGTATGTTTGCATCCTCTCCCCTTAATGTGGATGATCCCGCTACGGTTTTCTCAAGTCTTGAAAGCTCTATTGGATCTGCGGATGGACAACCATTTTAGTAATGAATAATCGATAAGTAATATGTTTTACATATAATGCTTAATTTTATATTTTTATATATTATATTGTAATCATTAATTTACTTCTTTATTATTATTATTATTATTTTATAGTTTGCTTCCATCAAGAAAGTGCTAAAAAAAATTATCATAATTTTCAAGGAGTGATTAAACATTGCTTACACCACATAGAAGTCAATCTGCATGGAGATGAAAGACTTCTACTTTAATGAGTTTAGGATAACATACTAATTATTTACTTATTTTACATTTAAAGTGTAAATTTAACATTGAACGTAACAATATATATATATTTTTGCTTCATGTTGAAGTACATTTTTGGGATGTGGTCGTCAATGCACTAATTAAGGATGCATGGGAAAGTCTAGCGTACCTATGCTTAACACACTTCGAAGAATACAAGTAGCATACCTATGTTTCTTAAGCTTGAGGTGTGGAAGGCATTGTACTAGGATTGGGTCACTCTTGAGTATTAAGCTCGATCTTAGGCGGCATCTCAAAACCATATGTCGAAGATGGGTTGTACTTGATACTAGCCTATGTAAAGACATTGTAAGTTCCATCTATTTTATCGAGCACGTTGAGTGTTTGGTAAAAACTATATTATCCATTGTGTTATAAATACGATTTTGCATTTATTTAATATCTTATTATTTTATTTATTTTTTTTAACATAATAAATTGGTTTGTAATCCAGATCTTTACAAGCTAATCAAGACCACTCACAAATGAAAAGATAAGACATTCGTTGATAGACAATTACGGACGGTAATGAAAAGTTTTTTTTTTGTAAAATATATATAGATCCGCCCATATAATCTAAAAATAAAATTATGATTTAATATTATAATTATTTCAATGACATTAAAGTGCATGAAGTTAAAGCAAGAAATAGTTTCTAAGGAGTGGGAGGAGTGTGATTCATCATCTTAAGGTATCAATATGTTCATGATATATTTAAATGCTATCGAAGAGGAGAAGAAGTGGAGAATGTATAAAATCAGAACTTATGTGTGCTAGTGTTACTCAATTCTTGCATTAGCTCCTTTCGTTGCCACTTCATCGTATCCTGGTGGTAATATCCGGAAGGTTTACGCCCATTACGAAAATAGGATCAAAGGGATGGAGGCTACCATTTAGCAAGTAGCTTGTCATGTAATATTTTGTACATCTAAATTCATTTATATGTTTATTGTATTTCACTTTGGACAATTTAAAATTTTTTAAATATTATATCATATTTTAATAGGAGTTATGTATAGTGGTTTGTTATTACAATTAACAATATATGGTTATCGATTAAAAAAAATTCATGTAGTGATGGACTTAGCGAAGGAATTGCAAGGATATTCAGCAATAGAGACATACACGGTCGTTAAATAATGATGAATTTGGAGACAAAATTATGAGGATCTTAGCGACTATAACTATAACAACCAATACTGTGGGTGTATGTGTGTGTGTATGAGTAATAACTTGAAAAAAGGGCTAGTATAAAAGGGGCGATAGCTGCCCTCTTTTTTAGAATTTTTCTCCTCTTCCCCTCTCTCTCAAACCACACTCTCAAGAAACTTCCTCCTAATTCTTTCTTCATTTCCTAAGCTAAATCATTGTTAAATTAGTTTAAAAAGACCATAAACAAGAAGATTCAAGTCCAGCTTAGTTAGATTGGATCTTCGAAAGCTTAAATAACTATAAAGAAACTCGTAATGTAATCGTGAATTCTTATCATTATGAATTTCAGAAATGGTAGCACACCCATTATGTAAATCGAGATAGAGGTAAGGATACTTTGAATCGGCGTGAGCTTCCCTTTCGAAGAAAGTAGTCTACTCTTCCATGCTACTAGCTTCTCTTAGATCTTGTTTTCAATATGAATAAAGAATATCACCTAAGGTCTACCTTTAAATAGAGGCATGCTCAAGTATCTAATTCTATCGGTGATTGTGTTAAAGCCTATCCCTTTTGCTAACAAGAGTTTTTTATTAGTTGTTATTTTAGAGCTATACACTAGTGAGCTTTTCCAAAGATTTATCATTTGCCTACTAGCTATTGTCTACGTTCTAAGCAAAGCAAAATCTTATCCAAATTTCATTTCCCTTTATTATAGAAAACCAACTATCATCTATAAATAAGAGATGGGATACTAGATAGCCACGTCGACCATTGTTAAATGAAAGGATATTCTCCTTATTAACTTGTTCCTTCGGATGTCCGTTAAATACCTCTTGAGCAATGATGAATAACACTAAAGAAAATGGGTCTCCTTGCCTTACCCCCCATGAAGAACTAAAGAAATAAAAAATTTAAAGTTAATTCTAATGGAGTACTAGTAGTTGCTTAAGTATTTTTGGATGAGCTCAAACCATTACTCTAAGAAACCAAAACTCCTCATCACTTTTAGGATGAATGACCATTCCAACCTTTCATTAGCCTTGGCCATATCTATTTGTAAAATGATGTTTCCCCCAAACACCTTCCTATCTATGTCATGCATGAGCTCCTAAGCTCGGGTGACCCCTTTATGAATTGTCCTTCATTTAACAAATCTTGATTACTCTAGTGATATAATAGCTATAGTATCCTACTTAAACAAGATGCTAGTAAGTGGGATAGTATTTTATTAAAGAAGTTACAAAGGCTTATAGGTCTTAAATAAAAAATAGTAGCTAGATGAGCACACTTGGGAATGAGAACCATTACCATGGCTATTACACCCTTAGGAATATCCCTCTTTGAAAGGTAGATCGAATGGCCTTGACAACATTTTTGCTATGATGTTCCAACAAGCTTTGTAAAATGATCCAATATAACCATCAAGACCGGGAGCACTCATGTCATACATTTCAAAAAATGCTTCCTTAATTTGCTCTATAGTGGGGAAGCCATTAGCAATTCATTATGGGAAGCTAAAAGCATCAAAAGATGATATCTAAGAACTGATCTTTCATAATAGTTTGTCTGCTAGTAAAAGCTCCTTTGAAATGATTAACCACAACCATTCCAATCATGTCTTCATCTAAACATTCCTTTCCATCTTTCAAAGAGAGAGATATTCTAGATGGTGCAGCTCTATTACATATGCATGTATGAAAAAAAGATGAGTCATAGTCTTTAGATGCTAGCCATTTTGGACTTTCCCTGTAACATTAGTTCCTCCTCGCTCTACAACACACATTGATTGGTCTCTCATAGTAGCTACCATTCCGTAGATCTCCTCTATTCCATTGGATCGAAGGCTTACTTCTTCTTAGAGTAAATCATCTTTAGCCTTGTTCATTTTTATATTAATGTCATCAAACACATTCCGAGTTCTAATTCTTCAACTCACCCCTTAGTGCCTTTAGTTTCAAATGCAGATTAGTGAAAGGAAAGCTACTAAAAGTTGTTTGCTCGTTGTTGTCGATGAATGGTAGAAACTCATTGTGTGTGATCCATATCCTTTTGAAAGAAAATTTTACGGATTTTGGAGAAGAACCAACTATAGAGAGCATTAGGGGCGGTGATCTAAATAGATCCTAGCTAAATGTTGCCACACCAATTTCAATTAAGCATCCAAAAATGATTGGTTTACCGGAACTCTATCCGAGTGTTTCCGGATATGAGATAGGCCATCTTAGTCGTTACACCAAGTAAATCTACTTCTAGTAATGCCTATATCATGAACACCCCTAAGTTATATACTATTATTGAAGTCAAACATAGAATTCAGCCTATGATGATTTTCATCTCGCCTTTTCGAGGGATCTACTATTGTATTGAAGTCACCAACAACAACTTAGGGTACTTGAATGTTGGGGGCACATA